TATATCGGTCTAAAAATATTGGTATCACACTTTCCTAGACAAAAAATATTTCATTGTAACGCGGCAGGTTTGCGTTACAATGAAAAATAAAACATCAATGAAATATCAGACTCTTATGAAAAAGAGAACCGACATTTTGATATTTTATTTTGAATTTAGAATGTCATATTATAGCCCTTGCCTATTTAATTACTCGGAGTATTACAAGTTTAAAAATGGAATGTATGTACATTATATTCAATTATAGAATTCAAGAGCCAGCAGAAAAAAGAAAACAAAACCGAATAAAAATAATACAATTCTAAATTTAAAATTTAAACACCATTTTGAAATCAAAACTATATTTTGACCGCAAAAATTTCTTACTCCAGTTTTTTTTAATGTAATTGGATTGGCAAACATGCCAATGGCCTACCTGATGTGAAGTGATAGCTGTATACCCACCCAGATGACTTTTTACTGCCTCTGGTAAATCATATCAAATTATTATATGTAAATAATGCAATTATGCAACGGCATGCATCCGCTGCCACTAGCGGGCGGTGAGTTCATGTATGACGGTGCATACACTGTACTGCGGTACACTTTTTCATAATAACCAATTACGTGATACGACATGTCCTCCTACCTACACAGCAGAGAACCGTGTTTTACATCTTGGTAGCTATAATCAGGTATATTCAGTACTTTAATCTCAATGTAGATTTCAATCCAATCTAGTTACACAAAACTAAACAAGGCAAATGAAACTGAAGAAGAAGTAATGGACAATATTATAATGTACATATATATATCTTATATATAAAATTTTCGTGTCACAAAGTTACCATATTCCTCCGAAACGGCTTGACCTATTTTTATCAAATTTTATACGCATCTTCAGTAGGCCTGAGAATCGGCTACTATCTATTTTCACCTAAGTGATAAGGGTTGTTCACCCCTAAACATTCGCCCTTCTAGCATCAACCCTAATTTTTTAATAGCGATTTTAATTTATATGGCAAAACAACATTTGTCGGGTCAGCTAGCTATATATATATATATATATCATCATCTGCTTCTTCCTTATCCCATTTATTTGTGGTCGGCGTAATATGTTTTTCTCTTCCATACATCTCTATTCGCAGTTATCTCGTAATTTACTCCCTTTCTTACCATATCATCTTTCACACAGTCCATCCATCTCTTTTTCGGTCTTCCTCTGCCCTTTTAACCATCAACATTCATATGTAACACCTTCCTTAAGATATGATCTATTATATATATATATACATTAATAAAATAAATGATGTATTTTTACTGGAATCTTGACACTCGACTGATTTTACATAAAAAAAAAATACTTACGCGACCTTGCGTTTTCCGGAAATAGCGTCACGGTACATTACGTTGTTGTTGTTTTTTTTAATTTCATACTTAAAAAATACAAATCTGATGATTCAGGAAATAGAGATTTGCGAAATTGTTTTTTAATCTTGATCGATGATTACTAAAAAAGACTATTATAATGAGCTAATTATATAAGGGGAAACAAACATAAATAGAGATCATGCAAAATAAACAAATAAATATTACGAACTAATAAACTGTGTACATTTAGTTCGTAATATTTATCTTTAAATATAACTTTATTAGATGTAATGTTTTCAAAATAAAAGTAGCCTAAGTTACTCCTTATTATATCAGCTACCTGCCAAAAAAAGTTATGTTAAAATCGGTCCAACCATTTCAGAGATTAGCCGGAACAAACAGACCAACAGACAGACAGACAAAAATAGTAATGAGTGTTTTTTTTGTGTATGTACCTATATATATATATATATAAAACGGTTATTTCAATATTACAAACAGACACTCCAATTTTATTTATAAGTGTAGATATACGAATATATATATCTAAACATTTTATGTAGAAGACGACAACATCAGAAAGTAATTGTTCCCATTCAGATCGTGTGGCTATTTCCACAACTAACTGCTTGTCTGTCCATCGCAACTACTGAAATTTTAATAACCTGTCGGCCGTAGATTTATTTTAGTGGCATGGCGAGTCGATGTTGGTCATTTTTATACACTGCCGTTCAGTATTATTGACTGCAGCTACAATGTGGATTTATAGCTGACCAAAGGCATAAATATACACTTTATACATGTATATGATATTTATACATTATAATTCTTTATTGTTTTATAAGATAGAAACATATCGAACCCTGTTCCAGAAACTGAAATACCATCCTGATCATCTGGATGAATGGCGGTCTTCCACAATGCGGTTTTCTAGAAACTTTTTACCTCGCACAACCACATTGTGGAATCACCTTCCAGCAATGGTATTTCCGAACCGATACGATATTGAAACCTTCAAGAAAAGAGCTTATTCCTTTTTAAAAGGCCGACAACGTACTTGCAATTCCCTTGGTGTTGCGGGTGCGCATGGGCGGCGGTAATCACTTACCATCAGGTGAGCCGCATGCTCGTTTGTCCACTGTGTTATAAAAAAAAAATATCGAAAGACGCCCCGTAGCTAGGTGGAGCGACGACATTCGACATGCGTACCCTACGTGCTAGTAAAGATTGGACGAGAAGGACTGATGATCGTGCTCAGTGGCGTGCCTTGGGAGAGGTCTATGTCCAGCAGTGGGCTGATGAATAGAATAGAATAACATTTATTACATCACACATCACAGCACAATAAAAACGATGATGACAGTTGCATATAAATTATTATATAAGATAAACTTAAGTAAAAACAATGTATTAAATTAGACATGAAATCATTATATACAGAAAAAATAATAATATAAGAACAACAGAGTAACAAAGAAATCTTATATATAAAATTCTCGTGTCACAGTTTTCGTTCCCATACTCCTCCGAAACGGCTTGACCGATTCTCATGAAATTTTGTGAGCGTATTGAGTAGGTCTGAGAATCGGCCAACATCTATTTTTCATCCCCCTAAATGTTAGGGGTAGTCCACCCCTAATTTTTTTTTTATTTTATGGCAAAACAACGTTTGCTGGGACAGTTAGTAAATAATAATAATAAAAAACCAATACTAAATAATAATAATAAAGTAAAATGCATTTCCCATCCACCACTGCGGAGCATCGTCACCGCGTCATTGTACTGATGTGTGTGTAAGGGGCCCCTCTCAGCAATATGCCATGATAAAAGCCACGACGCTGATTTTCAGTGGAACCCCATTGATTGATGATGAAATTATATATATTTACTTGTATCCTATTAATTTATTATTTATAGTATATTATGTGAGACGCACAGGTAGTCTATTAATGTTTCGATGTGATATAAAATTGTAAATATCTATATATTCAGTATATATGTAATATCTTTATATATAACTAGCTGATCCACGCAACTTCGTCTGCATTACACTTCTTGACATTTATTATATTTCGCCCAATTTATATACTATCTTTTTAAATAATTGCTTTATTTATAATTCTGATATATAAGCTATATCACTGGAAAGTTTCATCATTATTTGTTTAATAGCTTAGTTGTGCTTTTATATGAAATTTGTATTTTAGTTTTGCCTGAAAGAGTAACAAAGATCAGTCCATCCATCCATCTATCCATACTTACAAATTTATACGTTTATATAAAATATTTATGTTTTAGTAAGTTAGTACCAGATGTTATCCGCGACTCCATCCGTAATTTCGCCTTTTTTTAATGTAATATATTTTTTAAAGTAAAAGTAGGTACAGGGTACACTATATTTTCACAATATATGAGTGAAAAATTATTTCTCTTATACATAGGTTCAGCCGTTTCTGAGATTAGAAACTCTGCACAAACGCACTGAAAAACCAAATTGTAACAATGTTTGTGTTCTGTCAAAATGTAGTGCTGTTAGGTATGTTAGGTAATGTAGGGCCGTAGCTTTCCATTCCAATTGCCTACATAAAAAGGGGGTACATGTTTTTCCGTATTTTAACGTAATTTATGCGACATGCAAAATTAGTAAGTCTGTACAAGTTATTATATTGGTCTAACAGTATTTATTCCGGTGCGAACGGTGTGTCTTTGCTAATAACAATTTGGTGAATGTAAATTTATGTAAATATGTCAAAATCTTAAAGCATTTACAATTGAAAACGCAATATAACAGCCGTTGCCCTCTGACTGAATATTTATAAAAAAAATGCTGTTGTATACTTAGTGTTCGATACTTTTAGATACATAAATATCTTTATTTTTAATCAGCGAAATTTGCTTAAGTGTAATTATTGCACCGTATTGATTTTTTTATTGATAGCCTCAATGATCTAGCATTTATACACCGCTTTTTAGAGTTTTTTTTTCGGACTACTCTAATGCTGTGTCTAATGAAGCTGTAAAGGCCAGCTGCGGCCTATTAGCTGCTTTTACAGCTAAACTGGACGATAGGGGGCGAGTGCAAATGACACTCCAAATTGACGGAAGGACTTATGGAGCGGCTGAAGGCCAACTCCTGTCTAACGGATACGACTTAATTCCGAGGGCACCTCTAGGGTTTCGAATCTCGGCTCAGGCTGTTGTAATTTCTATCGCCGTTCAAATTGGGAGGATCGATCGAAGGGGGATCAATTGATGAAGCTCACTCTTTATATATTCCATTCCACCACAATGATGACATGTATTTCGTTCCACTACAAAGATGAATTGTATTTTTATATGATGATGATGATGATGATGATAATGGAAAGATGCATCCGTCTGCGGTAACAGTTTACGCTAGTGGGGCACCAGTAAAGTATAATAAAATGGACATAAAGTCAGGCCAGTTAGCGCATCTCAGCAAATGGCCATTTACCACCATGGGAAACCGCGAGGAGTTCAACCTGAAATGGTACATGCTGACATTGTGGTTATAAGTCCACATTACTAACAAACCTCTTTCCCTCTGATGACATGTATTCTCGCTTCGCCACTTCGGATATTTCCAAAAAACTAACTAGGTATACTAAATACATCCACGGTTTACAGGTATGGTGGTCAATGGTTTCGTGAACGTGGTCATCACAACCATCGAGAAGAGGTTCGGGTTGCGTTCCATGCAGACCGGTGTTATCGCTGGAGGGTAACTATCACCGTTTTTATTTTATTTACAACTACCTACTTTTGGCTTTTGTAAGATATATCAACTCTATGTACTAGTAAAAGTATGTATTATAATAAAATAATAACTATATATCATTAATTTAACTATGTCTCTAACACAATTCACTTTAGCATTTAAAATACAACCAGCACATCCTGTGCTCAATCACCGAATGCCGTGGCTTACAAAAACCAACTTATATGGGTTTATACGCAACTAGTTTAACGATACCGAGTAATAATGAAAATACCTTCTTTTAATATTTTTAAAATATCAGAGTTTTCAACAATATGTATGTGTACATTAATTGTATTATTTGTCTTCCTAATTATCGGCACACACCACTGTTACTCGCCGTTCACAGCTTAATGACCGCATGATGCCAGCTGTGTGCGATAGAGATGCCATAATGCTTCCTTCTTTTTCTTACATATACTACACATGAATAAATGTGATCATTTTTTGCACTGTATTTCAAACCATCCGTTCTGTTATTTTATTATTTATTCTATAATAAAGCCATTGCAGTCACATAAAAGAATTTAATCATAGGATAAATATGCGTAACGTTTAATAAAAAATCAGAGATTATCCGCTTTTCACGCAACCGTATCACCTGCTGCAAAACGTGATATGGACACGTGAGCTCACGCAGTTGTATGCGTAGCACACTAACTTGTGTGAAGAGTGGTGTAACTCAAAATTTTCAATATTTTTATCTTTAATTAAAAATATTTTGGTATAAATAAAATGTTGAAATGTATATATAGATGAACATATATGATCAACAATTTTTAAAATATAACTTACCATAATACGTTAGTGAAATGCATACTATCATTTACATTTATTACTAGCTGTACCCGCGACTTCGTCCGCGTGGAATTATACTTTATTTTTCTAAAATAAAATAATGTTTCTAAAATAAAAGTAGCCTAAGTTACTCCCTATTACATCAGCTGCCTGCCAAAAAAACTTCCGTTAAAATCGGTTCAGCCATTTCAGAAATTAGCCGGAACAAACAGAACGACAGACGGACAGACAAAAATTTTAAAAAGTGGTTTTTTGTTGTATATTCATATGCATGTAGTAAAAAACGGTTATTTCAATATTACAAACAGACACTCCAATTTTATTTATATGTATATAATTTATAGCCTATGTGTTAAACTGATATATTTGTGAAGTTTCATAAAAATCCATTCAGTAGTTTTTGCGTGAAAGAGTAACCAACATCAATCCATACTCACAAACTTCCACGTTTATAATATTAGTAAAAATTTTCTTGCCCCAATTTTATCATTATTTTCATTTCAGGTATGACATGGCGTCTTTCGCGTGTTTAGCACCAGTGACGTACTTGGGTGGGAGGAGTGGGTCCTCGAAGCCCCGCTGGCTCGGCTGGGGAGTGCTCCTCATGGGCATAGGGTCGCTCCTCTTCGCGTTACCGCACTTCCTCGTCTCGCCGTACAGGTTGGCAGGAGAAGAGCCTGACGACCTGTGCTCTTATAACAGAACTGTGGTAATTTTTTATATGTATATTTATACATTTATATATTCATTTCGGCTTGAGCGAGAGGCGACGCTGTCTCTGTATAATAATAATAATAATAATATATATTTAATTCAGATTATTATGCAAAGCATTTCATTCATTCATTTCATTCATTCATTCAAATAGCTTACCGTGCAAATTGTGTTTTGATTGAAGGGGGAGATTTCAGAGAAATTATAGATTTCTAAATAGAGATAGAACGAATACTAAAGAATACCTACATCGTAATGTTATAGGGTGGACGAATTCCCCTTAAGAGCATCAATTATGGAGATAGACTTTGTACAAAGACGTTTGCATGGATGCTTTTGTCCTTATTATAATTTTCAACTATTAAATAATATTCCGACAGGAGAACAATAAAGAATTTTTCATTCATTAGTTCGTTTCGTACATTCCGTAAAGTTCATTCTTTCGTTGTTCCATTCATTTTGTTCATTATGTTCAATTCGGCCTTTCATTAATTTCGTTCATATCATTCATTTCATTCGATCATTTAAATAGCTTGTTTTGTAAACTGTGTTACATTTTTTGAAGGGTTTCAATTGAAAGGTGATATTGCAGGGAAATTATAGGTTTCTCAATAGAGATAGAACTAATACTGAAGAATATCTTTATCGTGAAGAATATATATTAATTTCTTGTATTTATAATTATATATGGGAACAAAGAAAACACGACTTGCTACTACTCAACATAACAACGAACAAAGACAAAAACACCTTTACCCACATTTGACACACAATTGTTACATTACTTGTAATTATTACAAATACATACATACATTACTGTACTGTACATACATGGAACGAAATTAAGTATGGTCAAAAATAATGTCTTCCATATGGCGATAAAAATTTATAATAAAATACCAGATGATATAAAGACACTTTTACGAGGACGATTGACATATAAATTAAATAATTACTTATTGGTTACTCGACAAATGTTTTTACTCCGTAAACAAGTTTTTAAATGAATAATAATGTAATAATAATAATAATATGTATTTATAATTCTCTGATGACAATTGATTTAATAATTAAATAATATTTAATATTTATATATTAAATTCTCGTGTCACAGTTTTCGTTCCCATACTCCTCCGAAACGGCTTGACCGATTCTCATGAAATTTTGTGAGCGTATTGAGTAGGTCTGAGAATCGGCCAATATCTATTTTTCATCCCCCTAAATGTTAGGGATAGTCCACCCCTAAATTTTTATTTTATTTTAAGTCGAAACAACGTTTGCTGGGACAGCTAGTATTTATATATTTTGCATGCCTAATGAGGCAAAACACAATGGGACATATTACAATAACAACCAATGTAAACCTATGTTTAGTGCAAATAAATTTGATTTGATTTGATTTGACATTACACATCGTAATACATATTACAGCGTGGACACACTCTTAATTCATACACAATCGTCTCACCCTCGCTGCAAGCTCGGCGGTGTTCTAAATACATCCACGCTTTGTAAATGAACATGAATGGAGAAGAATTCCATTCACTAATACAAAAGCGGTGCCGTCCGGCCGTCCGGATGACATGGTAATGACGGTGTGTTACTAAATGTCACGATTGCTAATGAACGCAAATATATCTCTTGCTTATTTAATTAAGCATGCCCACGCTTTTTTATATTGACGGCCTCGGTGGTCTAGCGGTTGGGCGCACCGTCTTACTTCCAATGGTCGCGGGTTCGACGATACAAACATTTGTGTTGGTTTGGGTGTTTTCTGTGTATATTATATGTATATATTTACAATAAAAAAACAAAAAGAATAAATGCATGTAGTTTATGAAAAAGTTACGTGCGTGTATGTGTGTCGAAGCGTCCACCGAATAGGTCCGTGCTCAGCATAAGTGTGGCATACTTATACACATATTAATAATATAGTATTAAACATACATATATATATTACATTACATAAGTACATACATAAAATACTTTTAATAGCAATAATATATTTTATAGCATAGCTTTCTAGCGCATTGCATTGCGCTGGAGTCCCGCCGGCCGAGGCAGATTAATGTAAACAAATCAAATTTCAAATGAAAACAATATGACCTCAGCGACTAGTACATAAGTTAGTCTGTTACAAAAGTTACGCGAAGCTCACATCTTTCGATAATAAGCTCCTTGTTTTCTATATCTGCTTACGCGCCCGTGTTACCTTATCATTCTGGACTTTTTATTTTTCCATATTGTTGACCTCCTGTTAATTAATAAATCAGTGTATTGTGCCTAAACACCAGGCGCGCCCCACAAGTATTAGGCTGAGCATGGACCTCAGCGGCTGTTTATCAGTTGTTTAGTATCCATAACACAAGCTCTGCTACGATTGGGACTAGATGACGCTCTAAAAGTTCTCGAAATTATTCTATATATTAATTTAGAGTTACGGGTCATACTGACCAATTAATTCTAAATGTCTTTAGTTTATAGATTTTATAATTTCTTTACTTTTTAAAAATTTCGAAATTTATTCGTTATCTTAATTTAGAGTTACGGGTCACATCGACCCAAGTAATTCTAAATGTCTTTAGTTTAATGTTTTTATAATTTCTTTACTTTTTTAAATTTTCGAAATTATTCGTTATTTTAATTTAGAGTTACGGGTCACATCGACCCAAGTAATTCTAAATGTCTTTAGTTTAATGTTTTTATAATTTCTTTACTTTTTAAAAATTTCGAAATTTATTCGTTATTTTAATTTAGAGTTACGGGTCACATCGACCCAAGTAATTCTAAATGTCTTTAGTTAAATGTTATTATTATTTCTTGAAATTATTATAAATGTGAAAGTAGGTATGTTTTTTTTTTATTTTAAATGTTTCACTGACATTATTCGTTTTTATTAACATATTGACTTCAGCTGCGATTTGATACAGCAGTTTTCGTAGAACTAGTTGTGTTTCACTAGGTGTTTACTATATATATTTATATAGATGACACACTTTCCCGCAAAAACTACTGAACTCATCTTGAAATTTTGTGCACATGTTCTTGGAGGTATTAGAATGAACATAGGATACTATTTAATAAAAGAAAATATTTTTATAAAAAAAAAAACACAAATAAAATATCAACATTGTGCTATTTCAGCACCATCTAGCAGCCAGTAATGACGTTATGCGAGCGAAGCTGCGGGTAAAAGCTAGTATTTTATATATCTGCCTTATTACGGGGGTAATAAGTCCAAACATTATTATTATAATGTTTATTTTCTTTTGGTGTAGTCAACAAGATGCCAAGATACCACATCATCAGAAGGCGGCTCCTGGGCTGTGGCGGTGTTTGTCTTCGCGCAGCTCCTGCACGGTGCTGGCGCCACCCCACTGTTCACCCTCGGCGTCACCTACATAGACGAGAACGTCTCTAAGAAGATGTCCTCAGTCTATTTGGGTTAGTACCAACATTAATTCACTTGATGGATGATTCGCTGTTGGCCCCAGTGGTCTAGCGGTTAAAACACCGCCTTACATCCAATGGTCGCAGGTTTGATTTGTACGCTACAGTTATTTGTATTCATGAGTATGATTGTTTATATAAGCCTGCGTGTTTCTGTTTTTTTTTCTACCTTCATAATTTTTCAGAAATTATACTATTAATGGAAAGATATGGAACATTTTTTTAAATACACCATATTTACAAGTACAATTCACACAGCGCCATCTATGCCTAAGCTGAGCTGAGCCTGTGTCATAGATAATAGACAACACATACAAATATATAAACAGATTTTTTTTAAATACATACATATACATAGAAAATTCATACTCATGAATATGAATGTTTGTGCCGTACGAGGAATGAAACCCGAGACTGTCAGAAGTAAAGCAGTGTGTTAAATCGCAAAACCACTGAGGCAGTCTCTTTTAAAACAATATTACATGGTATTATAAATATTTTTGTCCTAAAAACACAAAATCTCAAATGTATATCTAATATTTATACATATAAGTATAGTATATATACCTAGTATGTATAAATATACATATAATCTCTTGGGATATTTATCCACACATAGTTAAGTGGTACGCACATTACTCGAGCTATGTAAGCGATATGAGCCGCAATGAAGCTATAAAACACGGGAAAGCACTACCCCGGCCGTTCTGACGACGTGGGGAGAAAATTAAGGGTAGTTATTGCTGAAAATCATTTTTAATATGCTTGTTTACTTAGCTTTATATGAAGACTAGATAGATACTTATTAGATAGATAGATAAATGCTTTATTTATTAACTAACTGACCCAAGCAAATTCGTCTGCGTTACATTTCCCCACCTTTTACAATATTTTTCATTGCAGCTCCGCTCCTATTGGTCGTAGCGTAATGTTAATGTTAAAGCCTTCCTCGACAAATGGACTATCCAACACAAAAATATTTTTTAATTCAAACCAGTAATTCCTGAGATTAGCGCGTTCAAACAAACAAACTCTTCAGCTTTATAATATATTTTTTTAAAGGATGATAATGGAGTGGTGCACTCGTCTGCGCTAACGGTTTACGCTGGCGGGGCACCAGTGGAGGATGATAAGATGAACATGAGGTCAGGTCAGTTAGCCCAACGTGACAAATTAAACGGGAATCACGATGTAATGTATCACGATGGTTTCAAGGGCGAACCGCGTGGAGGTCGGTCTGACATGGTACATTGCTAGCAATGAGATCATTAGACCACATTACTAACAATCCCCTTCCAGCTTTGTAATATTAGTATAGGTTACAAACATAGCATATACTCTCATATACGGGTCAGAAGATAACTTAATATAAATAGCAATCTTCATTTTAGGACACAGTATAAATACAATTGTTACAGATAGATAAGCAAAATTTATATGCATATTTATATTTATTTTACTTTTTCTCTATTTTTCAAATGTCACACACGCCTTGAAATGATGGTATTATTTTAAGGAGATGCTCCCGGCTGTCATAATAATGTTTGCTAATCCTTTTTGTGTCCGCAATATTAAAAAGGGGTAGAAAAATTTTGTTCAGATAGAAATAGAATAGAGATATTCTTTATTCAAATTCATAAGCAGATATTTTACTATAATATTTTTAGGACGTATCATATAGCACTGTAGGATCCCGGAGGGAATTCTGCAGGTCTTTCTTCTGGAGGTTTCGACATATTTCAGACTGTAGACTATCACAAAGAATAACTTAAAAGTTTAAACCTAATTTATTTACATTCTAACATACATGTTAAAATAAAGATTATTATTATTAACATCAGTTATTAACAGCATTCCAACAGTTAAGAATAGAATAGAATAGAAAATCATTTATTCAAATAAACTTACTTTGAAGCACTTTTCAATGGTCATTACATTTTTTAATCTACCGCCCGTTCGGAAAGCTGTCTCATCACAAGAAGAACGAGCAAGAAACTTGCGTGTTGCTCTTTTAAATAATTTTATTATTACTTTACATTTTTAAGTTTAAGTGTGTGAATACAAACCACCAATTAGCACTAAACTATTACTATACACTAATTCAATTAAATACTCAAATAGAAAAAATATTGAATATATAACCAACTGGTTAAACAATTAATAAGAGGAAATCAGTGATAGTGATTAGAGCAGACCAGTCCCTACAAGCAGCACCCGTTCACGAGTATGACGGATGAGCCAGCCATCACTGCGGTCGACCATATTTTAGGGAGCCCAATGACCCGGCCCACCACGCCGCCACAAGTCTGGACATTTTAGTGAGCATGACTACTCAAAACACCAGACTACGTCAAAGCTACTTACAATTGCCATCTGATAGTTATAGTATTCACATTTTACATAAGAATGCATGCGGCAATCAATACAAAAACCGCTATGCTTTCATATTTCTAAAATCAATCAATTAAATCAAGAAAGCAATGAGAAAATTAAATTATAACTATAAAATATAGATGATTATTATTAAATAGACTTTATGCATTTCTATAAGATAGTTCTTGATAATCCTGCGATGTAAAATAATGTTAGTGGCTTTCTTCGAACAAATATAGAATATTACCCGTTTTCATATTTTATCTGAATAGCCTAAAATAATTTTCATCCCAAATCAGTCAGACGCAGCCGCGGTTTATACATATATTAACCGTGTGTTATCTTATGTAAAGTTAACATTAGTAAAGTTTCATATTGAATTAGAGATTCATTCAGTTTACTACCATTAGTAACTGAATGAACGTCTCGGTCCTTCGAGCCGGATAGATATTGTGAAATCAGTTCGTAATCATTTCAAGTTCAGATTAGCGTATAGCATAACTGATGCGCTGTGATGGTTATGTTTTATAATACATAGTTAAATTATGATCCGTTCACAATAGGGAAACGGTTAGGTAATCAGCAAAACTATACAATTGTACGAAAAAATAACTTAGAGAATTATAATATTAAATAATATATATATATATATATGAACAGGGATGAATGGAAGCGAAAAACATATTACGCCGACCTCAAATAAATGATGTACCTACATGATGTAATAAAGATATTTTGATTTTATTGATGTGATTTGGTTTGATTGACGTCGTGCTGGACTTTGCAGAGTAACATCTCTAATATTGTTTCATGCTTAATGCGGCTTAAATATTATAAACATAGCATTTGGAAAGAAGATAGAATAGAATAGAATAGAATAGAAAATAATTTATTCAAATAAACTTAATTTAAGCACTTTTGAATAGTCAACATTTTTTTTTAAATCTACCGCTTATTCGGAAAGCTTTCTCATCACAAGAAGAATAAGCAAGAAACTTGTGTGTTGCTCTTTTAAACAATCAAACTTAAACAATTAACCTTATTCAGCAGAACTAGAAATTTATATTAAAGAATAACTCAGAAATTTACCGTAATAATATTATATATGCGAAAATTTAGAAGTATGGATGTTTGTCACTCTTTTACGCTTTTACGGATTTTAATGAAACTTTACAGTAATATAGATTATAACATCAGAATAACATATAGGCTATAAATTTCACGCGGGTGAGGACGCGGGCACAGCTAGTAATAATATTAGACCATCCATTCAGTCTACAAATTCATATAAAATTTTCTTTTATCGAGTAATATTAAGCCTAGAGAAATTCACATAGCGTCATACAGTCTAGTTTAGTTTAGTAATATTTTTTTGTCCTACCGCCCAGTTCAGTTTATAAATTCATGTAAAATTATCTTTTCATTTATTGATATTAGAGCCAGATTAAATGTTATAGATTATGTAAGCGGCTATTTCTTGACGTAATCTCGTATAGGTTTTTAAGTAACGCCTATTGTGTATGTTTGTTTAAGTTTTTTAACCTCCAGTCTCGACTATTCCCACGAATGGGTAATTAATCGAGTAATATAGTATTAAATCTAGAGAAATTCACATAGCGTCACCCAGTCTAGTTTAGTTTAGTAATATTTTTTTGTCTTACCGTTCAGTTCAGTCTATAAATTCAAATAAAATTTTCTTGCCATTTATTGAAATCGATATTGAGTTTAGAGTCCTGACTAGATTTTCTGGATTATGTAAGCGGCTATTTCTTGCCGTAATCTCGTATAGGTTTCTCTGTAGCGCTAATTCTGTATGTTTGTTTAAGTTAATTAAGCTCCAGTCTCAGCTATTCCCGCAAACGGGTAATGATAAATCTAGAAAAAATCACATAGCGTCGTCTAGTACAGTACAGTATAGTTTTTTGTATTAATATTGTAATAATTTTAAGAATTGAACATATATCCTACTACAAATTTAAGCTGTTGTGTGCTAAATGTCCAAAACTTATCTTATCTGAAGATCTTTTAAAACTTTATTAACTTGACTTGTATCGTAAATATTGTAATATCAAAAATAATATATAGTAATCATAGACCACCCTCTCTCCCTCTCTCTCACATATACACACACACATACAGATAATGCTTTCACATATATATATATATATATATATATATCAAATACAGGCATAGGTTCTTTTTGTTTTGTTCTTTTTTATGGTTTGTTTATTTCTTTTTGTTTATAAGTTAAATTTTCTTTGTTTTGGTAAATTTAAATATTTTGTCAATTTTATTAGACAATACCTGATGTGTAACGTTATAGCATGTATTTTTTTGGAATTTTATAAACTCGTTGGAGGGCGTCGATATTCGCAACACAGTTTTATACTTCTGTGAATATCATCGTCTTCAGTAAATTAGTACACATGTTTTCTGTTTTAAGTAATTTTTTTTTTTATTATTAGGTCTACAAAACTGGATGTCTTACATAGTACATAACTTAATACACATAAAACAAACTATTTAAGTAACACATCCTTCTATATGTAGACACAGCATGCATAACTTAATTTTTACACACACAAAATGACACTATACAATAATAATTTGCATTAATAGAG